CCTCGCCAGTTATTATCCTTGCTAACAGCAGGGCCCTTCTTATTTGTCCTAATTAGCAAGACTGAAATGTCGGAGGAAAGAAGGGGAATATTCAATAAAATCTAAATTATTGAATGACTGTAAGATTTCGCCATTAGTTCAGCCATTCTTTACCTTCTTCAAAATGTCAAACAAATGGGGAATGCATATTTGCAACCCTGCCCTTCTGTTCCGTGCAACTGGAGGGCATACATTAAGCATATTAAGCGTATTCAGCTCTTGATCGTTGTCAAAACACTGCAATTGCCTCACGATTATTAAGCTCGAAATATGCAAATGAGATGTGCTCGCACGTGTTGTAGGGATGCTAAAGTAATATTTATCTTGCGCTGGGCTAGTCTGGGGATGTGTTTGCTAAAGAGCTACTTGAGGCCTTGAAGATGCTGAATTAAGCCATTAGAGCCATGGGAAAGCTCAAGGTGGAAAACCTTCTGTGCAGGAAAGAGTGGCAGGAGCAGAAACTCTAAAAGTTAACTTCTGTGTGGGAATCACTCCCAGCTCCATCTTGAGTTGCTGATGCCAGACTCCTCTTTTCTGGGAATATCCCCACAGTGACTGTTTTCCCACAGGAATAACAGACTTTTCCAGCATCCCCCTACTGACTGGGGGATGCTTTTCCAGCATCCCCAATGCTCCGTCCCTACCAATGAAAGGAGGTGAGAGAGAGGAACTCCTCATCGTCTTGGCAATCTCGCATCCATCACAGCTTTACCTGCTATTTCCCCCCCTATCTACGTACCACGATAGGGAAAGTGAATGTCGGATCCAGAGAAAACTTCTTTAGGAAACGCTGTGGTCAGTCCAGGTCTCAAGGCTAGTGGAATGTTGTATAAAATGATGCTGGATGATATTAATAATGCTGCCCGACAAATACTAGTGTTGGTGAAGATGTGAATAAAATCATAAAATCAGGCAGTTTTTAAAGGAAGGGTTCAGGAGGAGATGCTCCAGGTCGAGTTTCTGCAGTGCTGAGAAATCGCACAGATTAAAGTAGAACTCAAAGGGTTCGGTAGCCAGCACGGTTCTACATAGGGACAGCGGGTACAGCCCTCATCCCTTCACTGTCACCGTGCTTGAAGGCTGAAATGAAGCTCATTAGCAGGGCGGATGGATTTAAACACGCACACCTATGCCCCGGGGCCCACATAGGCACGGCCGATGCGATTCCCAGGACCGGTTCCCTAAACCCAAAGAGGAGGAGTTTGATCTTTTGGAGTAGATAGAGGTGGGATTAGATGGGGTTGAGCCACACTCAGATGGAGAAATTCAGAAATAGGTGTTTCAGGAGACCGAGAACACAAAACATATCTCTCCCCCCCATTCCCCCCCCGGCTATGTGGGCTCCTGTCCCGGTGCTGCTCTCTCCTGGGCGAGGCAGATAAGAACTGTTCTTTTATCTTAATTGTCCCACGTTCATTTTTCAGCTCAGAGACAGCCCCGTGCTTGTAGTTCATCCCAATGATTCCTTCAGCGTTTCTTCGATCTCCCAAACTTTGAAGCCAGTTTTCCTTGTTAGAACTTCCCCCTTCCCCCCCCTCTGTTTTTAGATTGCAATCTATGCATCATTTGGACGATGTGGGTCCTTTTTGGTGATAACGAAGTCAGGGACGAACACAAACTTTTAAATCACACAGCCAGGAGCCACCAGGGGCATTTCTTATGCAAGACACAAACTTTCTCCGCAGAAAACTGTATTTATATTGAACTCGAAAGCGAAGCATCTGAAGACTCTGAACGCTCTGGAGCCTTTTGAAGCTCTTAATTTCTGTGTTGCCTGCACAGAACTTCCCCCAGCTCACACACGCAGTCTGTATCACTTCTCTTACAAGGGAAAAATGACGTAGGCGCCTTCAGGAGGTCCTTATCCTTCGTGTCAAGTTCAAAGCAAGCAAAGCATTTCATAAGAAAGAGCGAAAGCCCCCATCGGAGCGCTCCGTGGGTTCATTCCATGCCGCTAAAAGGCAGCGCTCACAAAAAAAGCTTCCCTTTAAGATGAAGTCTTCATTTTGTCGGAACAAAAAGGCGTGGTTTTCTCCAGAGGATCAAAACCCACATCCTTGTTAGCAGTGAGAGCTGGCTGTGCTCACACCTGGGGGGAGAAGCCCATGGGCTGTCCCAGGATGTGCCAACCAACACCCCGTGCATGAAAACCATCATCAGCTCCGGGGAAAAAACCGCATTATTCTGCTGGTGATGCTCTCGTTCCTTTTCTGCTTCTCAAATAAAGGCCGGGGTTTGTAGCAGAAGCTCCTGAAGGCCTTCAGTCCCGCACAGAATTGGGGGCTGTGGGCTGAGGACATCTGCAAGGCAGCCAAGCAGCTGCCAAAGAAGGGATTTCCTCGTTCTCCCGTCAACCAGACGAACACTAATCTGGACAACACAGTTTCTTTTCCCAGGAATCAACGAGCTGAATCCTTCCCACTTGCCCTCTGTCCTCATCCAGCTCGAGAAGTTCTGTTTCAACCCTTCTGATTGAAAGACAGCAGCACCACTCGAACGGTGCCTTTCTCTCCTCCTCCACACGAGTGAAAATGAAGCAGTAATGAACGGCTAATTAACTCTTTTCGGGGAATAGGAGGCAGAGCTCTGGCAATCTGAGAATTTCCACTTACACGACGTGGATGTTTTGACCACCTCCCCTCTCTCAGCTTTCAATAAAGGGAGTTTTAATGGAACAAATGACGGCGTTAAGTTCACCAAGCGATGGATTGCTACCGATAATCGGGTATTTCTTTCACCTGCGCTTTAGGAAGGGATGGTGCCAAACGGTCTCACACCTTTTTTATAAGGGGAATTAAACCCGCTAATAATAACGACGGTGATTTACTGTCAGTCCCAGGGCTAAAGGACTAAGAGAAAAACTTGGACAAGTGATTCCCGGTGCATTTGTGCGTTCGCAGCATCTGCAAGCCGTGCGTTTTGGGGAA